TTGATAATTAAAAATGGATGTTATGACAAAGTACAGCAGCCATTAAATATATATCAGGTTTTGAGTGCATTTAAAACACTGCCCACACTATCAATTTTGAAGCAGCATAAAAATGTGGCAAGTTTGCGCTATTTTAAATATCTCTGATATATTGTCCTATATATTTGAATTATTAATGTGCAATACAGCCAACCGAATAGTAAATTCATCCCAGCGGCGGCCCTAGGAGATCATTATGGAAGGAACTGTGCAACTCTGCGAGATGTGAAGATAAGCAGTCCAGGAGCTGCTCTACCTGATTCAGATTCACAGCACCTCTGAATCCTGAGTCACACAGATATGTGGATAATTCAATAACAATACAAAGTCTCTATTCTTATGCAAGTACAATTGCATTTTCTATTTATTTGACATTCACCAGACCTTCTCTGGAGCGATAGCTGTTCCATGTGACTGTGGGGTTATGGTACAAGGTAGGAGATATGATCCAAATAGTCATGTGGTGATAGGGCTGCCATATTTCAAAAATTGTTGAAGGAAATCTGCAAAAATGACACTGCCAGCATCGGTTGCCACACATCCATATTTTCCCGGATATTCAGCTGATTACTGCCTGGACACTGCTTTCGGCTGCAGCATTCTGGAAACGTCCGGAAAATTCTGGACTTATGGCAGCCCTGTGTGGGTTCTGGCTTCTACCAGGGCAGACCATGTGTCTACCTAGTGTACTTTCATCTGCTTATTGGCAGTGGATCTCTAAATTCCCATCATCTGTTATAAGTCGGGTGCCAGTATGCCACAAACTGAGGCAAGTTCCAGGATCCAGTATGGACCACTATTACTGTTGCTGGGGCCACTTTTGTCGTAACCACTTGCCTGCCCATTACAGAAACCAGATGGTCAGTTCTTCACCTTTGCAGAGGAGGAAAGGTGTTGAGAGCCTAAACCTCAACAGGAAGTGATCTAACCATGACAAAGGACTGATGTCAATACCCCCCCCCCCACTTACAGATCACCTGCTTCCTGCCCAATCAAGAAAACAAGGTCCAGAGTGTGACCTGCCACATGCATTGGGCCAATGACATGTTGGGACAACCCTATGACCATCATGAAGTCTTGAGTCACCTCAAAGGTAACTGTTTCAATGTGGATGTTGAAGTTCCCCAACACTAGCAGTCTGAAAATCCTCAACACTGCCTCTGAGACCAGCTCTGTCAGCTCAGGCAGGGAGACTGATGGGTGGACAGTAACCCAGCAGAATCCATGATGTGCCCCAACTGCACAGTGCCAGGAACAAACACTCTACTGGACACAAAGCCTGGAGAAAGAGATGGTAACTCTATAAACTACAACACCCCCCGACCTTCAAGTCTGACCTGATTCTTTACTGAGTGCCCAGGTGGCCACAGCTGGATGAGACTAACTCTATCCTGCTCACACACACCCTCCAGCAAGTGCACTTGCTAGCCAGCCTCTCAGGCTTTCTGTGCTTTAATTGAAGTCCAGGAGATGACACCATGATGTAACTCTTCCCATGGTGCATCCCCCTACCCACCTCACCAGATTAGGAGGCAGAGGCAGCCAGGAGGCTGCAGATCAATGGATAAATTCTTAATGAAAGAAATGCACACAAACCAGCCACCCTATGCTTTCTCAGACCATTGGTCCATCTAAATCAGTTCTGTCTACACTGACTAGCAGTGCCTCTTCAGATGGGACATCTCCAGTCCTAGCTGGTGATGCCAGGGAGTGAAATGATGCCACTGAGCTAAGGCACTTCCCTTAACAAACAAGTTAAGCTCAGCCCTGTACTCATTGGACTCCTGTGAATGAAGCAAAACAACAGCTGCAGCAGCAGAAACCTATTTCAGAGGAGAATGAAACTTTTGAGAAAATGGTGACAAGTTCCAGCACAGTGCTATTCCAAGGTAATGTTGTTATTTTATGTAAGCACCAGGAAACCTGAATTTGAGTCAGATTAAGTGAGTTTTGTAAAGCGCCCTGAGTGTCAGCAGACAATGGGGTGCTCTATTAAAATCGTAATTATTCACTTTTTCACACCGATAAAATTGCAGCCTATTTAAATCCATTTTGCACCTGCTGTCTTCTTTGTGACAGTTCGGCTGATAAACCAAAGGTATCTAGTTTACTCTCTGAATTTTACAGCGGTTAAAATCTGCTGGCTCAGAGCCTGCGAAAGTACACCAATTAATGCAATACCTGGCCAGCTGTTCAGAACTGCCTCCCAAGGAATAATTATTCCTAATCCGCCATTAGGTGATTAACTAGCATCCCCAATCTTGAGGATTTAAAGGACAATTGAGCTGGGCTGCTCCATTGCCTTCTTTGGCATGAATGCATGAGTAGAATAAGTGGAACATTAAAAAGAAAAAGAAAAACCCAAGAAGAGCACACTGTGCAAGAATAGTGCGCGGAGGTGTGTGCCTTCCATACTCTTGCCAAAAGGAAGTTCTGCCATTGATTCTCCCAGACCAGGCTTCACAGCTACAGTAGGTGTAGCTGTGAATACATTGTCTGAATACACCCATATTCATCTGCCTCAGGCTGCCTGTACTGTACTTGAAATTAGTATTATGGGTATGCACCCTTTGCATTGGGAGATTTCATTTTTAGTCATCATAGCTAATAACCACTGATAGACCTAGCTTCTTCTGTGAATGTCTAATCATGTTTTAATCTTGCCTTTTAATCACCTTTCAAATCTTTCCAGTCTTGCACCGGGGCACATTTCCATAAGTTAATTGTGTGCTGGTGTTTTGTGAGAAAGCACTTTCTTTCGTTTGTTCTAAATCCTAAATTCTAGTATTATGGGAGAGGGAGGGGGAAAAAATCCTCCCTGTTTGCTTTCTCCATGCTGTGAATAATTGTAGGAATTTCTGCCATGTCCTTATTTGTCCTTAAAAAAAAAAAAGAAGGTTGGTGGGTGGTGAGCCTCAAAGGCTTGTAAGGAAGGTGTGTCAACTGCTTGGTCATTGTGGGCTGTGACTCAGGTGCAGGCTTTCAGCATTGTGGTACCAGTTCTTTGGAGTTCATGGAATCGTAGAATTGTAGGGGATCCAGGTGAAGGGATCCAGGTGGTCATCTATTCCAACTCCTTAAAATGCAGGAATCTCAACTGAAGCATCCATGACAGATGGCCATCCAACCTCTGCCTAGAAACCTCCAAGGATAGCCTACCACCTTCCAAAGGAATCTGTTCCACGGTTGAACAGCTCTTACCATCAAAAAGTTCTTCCTGAAGTTTAGTCGGAATCTTATTTTTTGTAACTTGAAGCCATTTCTGCACTGACTGGGAATGAAGCAGCGTGGCTGTCCCATCCAGGGGCAAACGGTATTGAAAGCAGAACTGCCCTGAAAACATTGTGGGCACAAATGACCATCTATGTGTGATAAAAATGATGTTTGGAGGGCTCCTAGGTGCTAAATGCCATGGGTACTTTGGCCCTGAGTTGTTTGGACATTCATATTTGTCTGGGACTGCCAGGACTAAAATGAAAATATCAACATTAGGTGGGTTTTCAGAAATTTGGTGTAAGGAATATATGAGAAGGTCCAAAATTTGTTGAATGTCAACTTTCACAGGTGAGCACTGACAGTCCCGGAGGAATATTTGCTGGTGCATGTTCCTGCTTGCTGGGTCACACATTGTTATATGCATACAACCTCATTCAGGTAACCATTAATATTCAACAGCATCTCTCTTGAGTTTTTGGTCATCTGTAGAATTCATCTCAACTCATTTCCTCTTCCTTTCTCCAGTATTGTTTCTCAGCTGCAGTCATTCATTCCGTGTGGTAATGACATTTCACTTGTCCTTTCCACTCTTCAGAGGATGGAATATGTTGGGAATATTTTACACAAATCAGACTAAAGTGGCCGGTAATTTTCATTATCATGCAGAGTCAGTGCTGCAGTGAACCTTGTTATGGCCCTCAAAGATTACTTTGGGAAATGTCAGCGTTAACGCTTTTCTTTTCAAATGGACTCAAGCTGCTCATGGTTGGGAATTTTCTTAATACCATCGCCATTAAATATCAAAACAAAATCAAACCCTAGTTGGCCTGCTGAACCTGCCACAGAAGATGAATAGATCTAACCTCAAAGGTAACATTTTCTTCAGGTCCTCAGACATTTCAAGGTTATAACAACAATCAAACAACACACTTGCAAAAAAGAATAATGATAAGCATTGCTGGCTTGTGTGAAGCCAGAGTGTTGGGCAACTGTTCATTTAATATAAGAGAGCATTTGTGCCATCTCATACATCACAAAACTGTCTTCACAAGAATCCCATTTTGTGATGTGCCCATTTAGCAAACATGAGACAAGGTTGCCCATCAGGTGGAGGGCAAATGGGTACATCTGCTTGAGGTGACTTTGGCTGAAATCCTCATCACAAGCCAGGCATAGACAACCTGTTGCCCTTGATCAAATTTCATGCCTCCCTTAGCCTAATTTCAGGTGGGTAGCAAAAGAGGAGAAATTGGTGCGGGGGTGGGAAACACAGAGAGACAAGGAGTGCCACTATGATTTCTGATCCTGCTCACTTGTGGTTGACTTTGGCCTCATCTACCTCTGGCATGTGGCCTCTGAAAGATTATCCCCGAGCAAATGTGACCTTCAACAGAAAAAAGGTCCACATCCCTGCTATGTACACTTATCTGGGAGTAAGCACCATCAAATACAATGGCATTCAGTTTTGTGTAGACTTGTATAGGATTGTAGAAGAAAAGTTTGGATTTGATATCCCACTTTATCACTACCTGAAGGAGTCTCAAAGCGGCTAACATTCTCCCTTCCCTTCCTCCCCCACAACAAACACTCTGTGAGGTGAGTGGGGCTGAGAGACTTCAAAGAAGTGTGATTAACCCAAGGTCACCCAGCAACTGCATGTGGAGGAGTGGAGACACGAACCCGGTTCACCAGATTACGAGTCTACCACTCTTAACCACTACACCACACTGGCTCTCATTATTCATTCTCATATGGTCTAGTGGTTAGGATTCCTGGTTTTCACCCAACTGCACTGGGTTCTACTCCTGGTATGGGATTAGCAATCATTCTGGGGCCTTGAGATAGCTCAGCTGGTTGGAGCATGGTGTTGTTGTTGTTGTTGCCAATGTTGCAGGTTCAACCCCCATGGGCAGCTTCATATTCCTGCATTGCAAAGGGTTGAACTAGACTAATTCTTCCTCTTCTATCACTAATAAATCTTCATCTCTTGACCAATACATATATGAAATGGTATAGTATGAATAGTGAAGGCTTAATCTGAACCATACACCTTGATCCTAGGCATATGATTTCAGTGACACTCCCAAATACATAAAGTAGCAGACAGCAGAGAAGGAGGGCATCTTAGCAGAGGCATAAGTATTATATAACAAGTTAACTTGTAACTTTCCTCTCAGCCCTAAATAGTTTTTGCACTGAAAGTTCCTTTTTTCGTATTCCTGCATTCAGACCAGCCCCCTTACTGAACCCATATGATGCATCTTAGGTCAGCTGATTCACTAGATCATATGAGGTTCTGCTAAGTTAGCTAATCGATTGCTGAATCATTTGACATGCTGCACTGGTCGGCATCACAAGATGTTATGAATGGGGCTGCATCCTAGTCACTTTCAACCCTTAGGTTCATTTTAATTCTTTTGGAAAAAAATGATTACCGTAATTTCATTTTAAAGTAACAAATGCACCGCACATTTTCATCATTGCTGGAAGGGTTGTTTTTTTAAAAAAAACTTGCTTCCTCCCTTGCTTGCAAACAGTGTTCTAAGGAGACAAGCTTTTGATGCAAGAGAAAATTATGCAATATTATTCATGTTTTATGAATTGCAAGCCGTTTTCCAGTTATGTGTAGACTCTAATTTAAATCACAAATAACACTTCTTATTCTTTCAAGGAAGTGGAGAGGTGGTGAGCCTCTGGTTAAAGCTACAGTATATTGATGGTTGGTCTTGAGACCCCAGGCAATTGCTTTCCCTCTGCCTAGACAAACATCTGAAATCCCATGGATGCATGTTACATTTGCTGGAGTTGCTGTTTGGAATGAATGATAAGGGAGGTGGAAAGTGCCTTCAAGGCTGCCGTCCTACCCAGAGCTTGGTGAGCCTAAACCCATTGAACTCCACTGGGTTTTAGCATGCTTAACGCTGCATAGGATCAAGCTGCATGGCTCAAAATGAAGAATTCCAATTTCTGAAATAACAGTGTGTGTCCGTGAATGAATTCCCCGTGAGAAAACACTAAAGGTGTTTGCCAATAGCCAAACATGAACTTTCTATGCAATTACATGGGTTTCGAAATGTCTCTGCTTAACCATTCTTGCCTCTAGATCTCCACAGGGCACCCTCAAAGCTTGCAGGCTGGCTGCCTTTGGTAAACAAAATAATAACGATGATTATTATGGAGCATTTCCAGTTTCCTGGATGTACTCAGCAGCAGATATTCAAAATTACGGAATATGGAACTCATCCATGCACGCTAACTAACCTGCCTAGCTCTGGGTGAAAATATTGTAAATATTCTGTGGGAGAGTTCTCTCAAGGCCACACTAGATGGTGTATGTATAGCCCAGGCATCCCCAAACTTGGCCCTCCAGATGTTTTGGGACTACAACTCCCACCACCCATAGCTAACAGGAGCAGTGGTCAGGGATGGTGGGGATTGTAGCCCCCAAACATCTGGAGGGCCGGGTTTGGGGATGCCTGGTATAGCCACTGCTAAAAACAGCAGCTGCACATCTAGATCCCCTGACCTGTAACTGCTAGCATTACTTTTCTGGTGTCACTATATATCGGAAGCTGTTTTATACCAAGCCTGTTAGTCCATCCAGCTCAGTATCTTTTACACAGGTGGCAGCTCCCAGGTGTCCTTCCCAGACCTATGTGGGGGTGCCAGAGATTGAACCTGATGTATTTTGCAGGCAAAACAAACTACAGTTTCTAAGATTCTTGGCTGGGGGGAACCACGCTTGTCAAAGTGTGATAAGAGTGCTTTGAATGTATGGTGCTGATATGGCCATTAAGGTAAAAATAATAATTTTGTCCTGTGTGGATTCCTCCAGCATCCCACACTGGACTAACTTTGGAAAGACCTAGGTTCAAATCTCTACTCATACCACAAAACTCACCAAGAATCTAAGGAAAGCCTGGTGAATCAGGCCAATGGGCCATCTAGTCCAATGTCTTGTTTTCACAGTGGCCAACCAGATCCCTAAGGGAAGCAGGCATGAATACAACAATGCTCTGCTTACCTGTGATTCCCAGCAGATGATATTTAGAGGCATGCTGCCTCTGACAATGGAATTAGAACACAGCCGTTGTGGCTAGTAGCTGATGATTGTCCTCCATGCATTTGTCCACCATGGATTTGTCTAACTCTTTTAAAGCCATCCGAGTTGGTGTCTCATGAAAGAGTGACTCCCATAGTTCCAACATTCAGCTTTGTTAGATATCCAACACACACACACACACAGAGATTTGTACCTGTTTTTTCTATGCTGTGGATAATTTTCATGCCCCCTCTTACTTGTTGTTGTTGTTTAGTCGTTTATCCGTGTCCGACTCTTCGTGGCCCCATGGACCAGAGCACGCCAGGCACTCCTGTCTTCCACTGCCTCCCACAGTTTGATCAAACTCATGTTGGTAGCTTCGAGAACACTGTCCAACCATCTCGTCCTCTGTCGTCCCCTTCTCCTTGTGCCCTCCATCTTTCCCAACATCAGGGTCTTTTCCAGGGCGTCTTCTCTTCTCACAAGGTGGCCAAAGTATTGGAGTCTCAGCTTCAGGATCTGTCCTTCCAGTGAGCATTCAGGGTTGATTTCCTTAAGAATGGATCTTACTTACTATTCCTCTAAACCCAGAAGTCTCAAATGGGAGTTGCTCCACCCCTACGATCATTTTGGTTGCCCCTTTCTAGACCTTCACTCAGCTCTCTAATATCGTTCTTGAGGCATGGCAAACAGAGCTGCACACAGTATTCCAAATGCAGTCGCACCATAGATTTGTAGAATGGCATTCTCATGCTGTTTTATTTTAAATTCCTTTCCTAATGATCCCTAGCGAGGAATGTGCCTTTCTTCACAGCTGCTGCACACAACTTGACCTTAGGCCAGCTACTATCTCTCAACCTAACCTAATGCTATTATTGTGGAACTAAAATGTGTGAGGATAAGAAATGGGGTGGGAAGAGAAGAACCATGTGCTCTGCTATTAACTCCCCAGAGGAAACGTGGGTAGACATGTAATATATAAATAGCTCCTCATATGAAGCATGGGGAAAATATATTTGCAACTGCTTTATAGAAACTCACTAAGATGAAAGTGTGACAAAAGAGGGGGGGGAGGGAGAATATCTAAAAACCATTAAACCCTTTTCAGGTTGGACCTCCCCCTCCCCCCCAAAAAACTTGCCATCTCACCTTGATGTCATTTTAGCTTTGCGATGATATGCTGAATGCTAATTTGCCTCCAGTAGTTTAGCTGAGCATAACCATCTTTCTGAGCCTTATCACTTGGTTCAGCCACATTTCATTTTTAATCTCTCTCTAACTTCAAACAATTTCTCCTTTTTCATGATACCTAATTAGCCCGCCTGCTTTAGATAATCATGTGAGGTGTTCATGCGTACATTACAGCCCCGAGTGCAAAATTGAATCTCTCTTCCCTCTGAAAAGGATCCATGGGGGACTCTGGCAATTAGTCTCTAGCAAACACACATGTGGAAACAGCTGTACAAATTTGAGCTGGACGGAGAAGCAAAGCAGAGCTGTAGGAGGGATCTTAAAAAAAGGCAGAAAATGTAACAGAGAAGGCAAACTAGCTGAATGCCCATAACGTCGCAGCCGACAGCAGGATCCCTATAAGCGAACATCAGGGATGGGAGCAGATTTTTACCTAATTTTTGAATTCTATTTTCTGCTTTCTCCTCTTATTTGTTAGTCCTGGCTAGTTGTTTGGGTCATCTAGGGGGTCCTCTTGCAAAGGTGGCACCCCAGGGGAAGAACAGGCACCTGATGAAAGATGTGAAGAGGCCTTCCCATCCCACAATGGGGTCAGAAGAGAGGTTCCCCTCCTCTTACTCCAGCACTACCTTCAGGTGCCAAGACCCTACTGATGCTGTGTGTGACCTGTTGAGGGTCTGCTGTTCTCCCCTCTGCTAAATCTCTTTTTATAAGTTGTTCATTTGACACCCCCTCCCCCACTTCTGCTGAGTGTGGGGATGTGTTCACATGCCTGCCTGAGAGGCTAATGTTCAGTGCAACCCTTGGGCTGAAAAAGGTTAGTCAGGCATGTTGTAAATAGCAATCAAACAACTGACTTCAGTTTGTTGCACTGAAGTTCCATGTTTCATAAACCCAAGCCAATAGTCGTTTAATTTCATACATACAGTCGAAATAATGCTTCATGGTGACCTTCAATATATTACCTGTGTTCGTTCTTAATCAAAAAAGTGACCTGAAAGCCTTGGAAGATTTCAATTTAGTGCAGAAAGAGAGAGAGAGAGAAAAGGCAGATGATTTACTGTTTTGTATCTCTTTTTTTACACAATGAAGGGAAGGGCTTATGGGTTTGTTCTGTTCTTGTTTTTGTGTTTTTATTTTGTATTTTTATGCTGCGAACCACCCTGAGATCCTTTGGCTGAAGTGCGGTATATGAATTGAATAAATAAATAAATAATAATTGAAGAAATAAAGAAAAATAAAGAAAAGAACAAAAAGAAAAACCTGGAGAATAGAGCATATTCCCTTTTCACTGGTTTTCAATTGACTTTGTTGTTGTCATGTAATACGGCTGATAAAAAGCGAGCAGAAGAAAAATTATTATCAGCATGCTAGTGAGGTGCAAATCGGCTATTGTTTTCTGAAAGCAGCACCATGCTGACTTTTTGTATGCAATAAGAGTTTTGCAGATTTTTCTCTGCATGCTGTAGAGGCAGAAAAACTGGGAAGCCGAGTGGCACTGAGCAACCATAGCATTGCTTCTTTAAGGTACAAGTACACATTATGAAGCAGACACAGGCCTTCCAGCCGTGTATAGCTCATAAT